AAACCATTTTCCCTCCCCGAGTCTAGAAAAACAAAAAGCGAAAGATACCGTACTAGACAGAGGGACAGTGCTCTTAGAACGCAAAAGTAGCACTTATTCCATTGGTGGAATCTGGAGATGGACGCAAAATCAGAGAAACCAGAGTACAACCGAGCTTGGGCAAAGCTACTATTGCAAAGATATATTGTGACTATTTCCGACAAAAGGTGTTGGCAGTAGCAGAACTGGGCTCACATGCTTAACATGGACAAAAGGAGAAGTTTTACTTTGGTTTACGTTCGAGGCACCTTACAAGTACTCTATTGCACCAAGCTAAGTATGATGTTATTTCTAAGGTCATATGGGACCGGCGTCTATAGATCTAGATAGATTCCAGGGCGGGATAGGCGGGCTTCGTCTTTGCTCGAAGGAATTTTAATAGAGCCATTACAAGTATACGGACTGCGGGAAAGACTGATAGATAGAAACTTATTGTCAGTAAAACCAAGAGGGACGGGAATGTCGATTTCTGGTTTGTTTGCTGTCGTCAGCTCACGAATAAAGTGCAGGCCTGAGGGTCATATTTGAATTTGTTAACTGGGATGCAAATTAAGTCAGTATATTGCAGGCAAGATTCTTCGAGACCTTCTAAAGCTTAGTATTCGGAAGAGGTTTGTGATAGGTTTGTCGGGCGACTCAGGTATGTTTTCCTATCGGTAAAATACAACAGTTCATCCTTTTTTAGACTGATAACAAAGAATCGGATCAAAAATCATCAAAATTTACGATTAGTCCAATGACGTCCAAACATTTGCCGGAGAACGCTGACTGAGGGGGGAAAGAATGGAAACCGCTAAATGGCAAAAGTGCTAAAAATGCACATTTTGCAAAACTTTTTTCCTAAACTTCCACATTAGGTGTAGGCTCTAATGTCTTCAAGGGCTCATTTAATTCTTAGGGAAAGATATGCTTTTACTTCTCGAATTGGATAGCAGTTAGCACTTTCGTCTCACTATTATACTCCTGGGCCTTTAAAATGATGGATATCTGAGGAGAGGGACACCTGGTTGAGGACCCAATTTGAAGACGTGTCCCTCCTTTGGACGGAATGAACTCTGAGCTTGTTCTAGTCCATTCTCTGCTGCAGTTCTACTACCCGTCCCGCGGCAACCCCTTAGCTCAGTATGTGTAGTTCTACCGAATGACGAAAAGGAAGATTGTCTCAAAGACCTGCAAAAGGCATGAGATCACAGAGGTTGGAGTTGAAGACACGTAGAATCGACTGACCTCTATACTGGTGATTCACAACAATCTGACGCATCCGCATCTCTCGTGAAAATGTTGCCGTCATATGTGTACGCGTCAGAGGTTATCGCGATTTGCAAAGACAACGAGAAAATTCCAGTTCAATAAGCATGATTCGGTCGTGACTGTCATATATTATCCAAGAGATTTTTCGCTGACTTCAGTTGTTTAAAAGTGCTCGTCGAAAATCGTCAAACGACAAATCTCCTTCCGAGTTTCTTCTTTCGAATCTTCAGATACGTGTAAGGATGGGCATAACCTCAGTAACAGTGGCCCCGTCTGCGAATCTGGCTGTCCATGTTTTTTATTAATTGCGTACTTTTCGATTTTTTAAATGTGAGGAAATAAATTTTCGGTCACAGCAACACGAGTTATGATCAAATTCGTCCGCTGGCTGGTCATTACAGATCAGAGACGAGAGGTGAGGGACGCTGCATGATTATTCAAGTAACTGCAGTCAGGTCTTCTTCCATCGAGAAGCCCCATTCAGCTGTTATTATACAAACCCAGGAATGCAGCGGACATTTTGTGAATTTTCCCGGATGCAACCTTGATTTTTCTCCCTTTTTTACCTTTAAAAGTAATGTCTTTGATGTATGCATCTTTCTGATGGGTTAATCATCTTTGCGATAGAGTCATATTTCAGCTTGCATGTTGCAACTTCTTGCAAATAGTGATGAAAGGTGTACTCGGCTCTAGGAAGATATCCCTATACACTCGCATCATAAAGAAGGCCCTAAATACACGTCGCACCGTTGTCCTTGCAGTACACTAAGATGTGAGTCTGATTTTCGGTGGAAAATTACTACAAAAGCAACTCGTCAGGGTCAACGATAAAACTTTATTTTTAGCCAAAATGTAGGCTTTTGCGACCGGCTCCTGCCTAGACGTAACTAATGAGGCTACTGCCGAAATGACAGCGTTTCAAGCAGGGCTGGCTGTTAGTCAGAGGCCGAGGTCACGTAATGCCTTACGTCCAATCTCACTTCTAGGCCAGCTTAATTCGGACATGCCGTTAGTGCATTAATGGAGGGGGGAATAGAGGAGGAAGCCGAAAAGCTTTGCTACGAATATGTGAGTACTAAACTGACCATCACCGTGACCTCCGGCTTTTGCTGATCGCTAAAGACGGGCTACAGAACCAGAAGTCGTTGCGCTATCTAAATCAGAACTACCAAAGGAGAGTCCAGATAGGTTACAATCTCAATGGTTCGCAGGAACGCATTTTGGGAAATATCCAACTCCCTTATTGGGATAAGTTCCACAGGAACACAGAGGATGGTAATTGGTTTCAAATAAAGTAGCGAACTACCGTCTCACAATTTATACCAGCGCCCACTAAAGATATCATGATTCAATTAAAAATGAGGTTGATATACCTGTATGTAGTGAAATCACTGACGTTTATCAGAAATTAAAGCAATGAGGAATCGTTTTCAGTGTTTCACAGATAATGGTGACTAAGAGGATCACCTGCTGCATCTGATATGAAGGAAAACATCTTATATGGAAATTTTTAGCCCAAAATACCGTTCGGCGAAGCGCTTCTTGAACTTAGATTTCTCTCACCAGATTCATTTTCAATAGTGTTGACCCTAATCGACGTTTTTACAGACCATTAGATCCCGCACAAAATAACCTTTCCCAGAGAATTGTTGGCGACACGTCTCAAGTGCCGGCTGACCATTGCCGCGCGACTGCTCGCGTAGGCCGTAGATCCTCAATTCCAACAGGAAGTGAGATCGTGCATGGTCCGTCCCACAACCCAGGTAGATCGGCGCACGCAACCCCCACTAAACAAAGTATTCCTAAACTCGGCCGACAGGACGGAGAGTTTTAGTGCAGTGCCGAGCGCCTTGGCGCAGAATCTTTTTTGTCGGATTCAAGCCTCGAATACGCCAGCACGTGGGATTTGGATTAGTGCTGTTCGTTTTAGACCAGAGATAGCTATTCCGGCGCACTAGTCATTACCGTTGAACACTTCCGAATTATTTATTACTAGTCGCCGTGGTATGTGATGGTAGTGAACCCGCAACCCAAATCAAAAATGGAAGTACTGCATCCGTCTTTCGACAATAATGCATCAGTGGGCGTCAGCATCATGTGAGTTAACTTCAGCCTTGTTGAAATTTTAGTCTCTCATGAAGAACGGCGAATTTAATGTCGAAACGCATATTATATCTTTCTTACCGATTACGAATTTTTAATGTGCTCTTAATGACTTAGAAAATTTGTCTTGGTATATTTATAATTTTACTCCTTTCAAAATATGTCAGAGAATATGTATTATAGTATAGGGCTTTATTTAATGACATCTTTTGTAGGTTTTTGACCATAGTAACACACAAGAGTGCTTCTTATCATTAAGTAAAAAAGGCGAAACAAAACACGAATGCGTGTAAAAAAGTCCTTCTAATAACAATTACGGATCATGGTTTGCTCTTGGAGGAAATGCAATTGGCCTGTTTTAAATTCCGCTTCGGCAGGAAAACTAAATTGTCTCAATAAACTCCGCATATATGTTCTGGTCAACGCAGTAGTCAGCACTTTGGAAATCCAGATCTAAACTGCTAGAACTCTTCGTGGAGAGCGGGCTGTTGAGGGAGGTAACGGGAGAGCAGCCACCAGAGGATAACCAACTGGCGCCATCAACTGGGTGAGAAAGGGGACTGTACTCAATATGCGGCGACCTGATCCAGGTCTCCTCGAAAAAACACCCAGCCGGTTGATTCGGGGGGCTTAGAAGTAGAGGGGGCTCCAGATTAACCACCTGAGGATCAAAAAGTGGTGCCGGCGACTGGCAGGAAAAATATGTCGGCTGTTCGGGCATCTCGTTTGCAGTGTCGGCAGCGGAGAAAGATGGGTTTATTATGGGGTTATTCTCAGCTATCGGGTCTCTTTGCGAAGTGTAGCCGCGTTCTATTCCACGACAAAGAACGCTTTCCTGGAACACTGCAATCGTTTTGCGCCGGGCTGAGCAGTGACTGACGGATCCCAGTACGTTAACTCCACAAACGGAGTGCCCGTCGGCACTGTCTTTATGAAGCCGGATATTTTGTTTTAGGGAATGTGGTGTCACTAGAGTCTGTTCAAAATCAGAGGAATCGCTGGCAGTCTGACCGTCACCGGGTGTCTTCGGACCAAGAGATCGCAGATCCTCTTTAGTCTGCATCAGTTCTGGTGAGGGGGAGACTATGTTCACTGTGACTCCGGAGTACTCCTTAATATCATTATCAGAGCAGACAGTAGATTGCACCCGTTGTTCTTGTGAGTTCGGATCCTGTGAGGGCTTTCTCGGAGGAATGGGTGATCTGTCCGATGGGCCAACCTTGCTGACCCTCTTCGGAGCACGTGCATCTTGACGGACTTTTCGACTATCTCGTTTGCTCGGAATCTGACTGCCTTTTTGCAGATGATGCGTCACAGAAGATGTGTCATCCCTAGGGTCAATACTGCTGACTGAACTATGTCGGTTGCTACTCGTAGTTCCACCGGATCCTCCGTAGATACCTGTCTGCGAGCGGACGGAAGACTTACAACCGGTGTCAGCTTCGGTGTCCTCATCATCCTCCGCGATCGCGTCCTCTTCATCATCCTCGTCCTCCTCGCGAAGATTCCCACTGAAATCGCTGACGCCCCGTGTGCTGGAGGATCGCGCTGACAGATTACTGCGCCAGCCGTTTCCATAGCGCCAACTGTATCTTGTCTTCTTATGCAGACCTCCGTTGCCCTCATTGTGGAGCAGTAACTTCTCCGCACCATATTTGGAAGTTGTAGACCAACTCTTACGTTTCACTACGATAAGTAAAATGATACCGAGAATAAGGGCAAGACCAACCCCCAGTAGGCCTCCAATTAAAGCAGAAAGGTGCCAGTTTTGCGTGGCGGCTTCGGTACACTGTAGCTCAAAGGCGTAATTTTCAGGCGCTTTAATATTCAGCGAGTGACGTTGTTGCCAAGGCAAAACAGTTGTCAGAGTTGGGCGTTTTGTGGCTGTTATCCCAACTGATTTTGTTTGCTCTTCTGCAATTCGTGCGACAGGTTGTGGGGCATTGAGGATAGGCTTCGTTTCCTCTGGGTTTGAGCGAACCGGAGTTGCACGTTTTCGGCGAAGAACTCGAAGACAAACAAAGTAGACCGTTTCAGGACGAAGACGACTCAGCTTGAAGCTGGTCACCGGCTCGTTCAACGTTTGACCTCGTTCAAATCCCTCATCCAAGGAGCTGTAATAGTAAAGCTAAAACAACATGGAGAAGTATTGGATTTAGAAACTGGTTAAAAGGCCCAGCACACTGATGCCAAGGGTTTCCTGCTTCCACATCAATAGGGGACCCTTAAAGATAGCAGTAAAGTCCACGGGTGCCGGAACATCAGCGAGTGGTATTTAAGAGTAATGATAAGTTGTTTCATTGTGTCTGGCCTTCCACCTGAAACACAATTCCCCGGGGTCATTTCGGACGATAAGTGGATATCTTCAGGTTTCTTGTTTAATAAGCTCAATATGGTTAGTTCCAAAGTAACTTGCTTTGTTCCTTTGAACGCACCCCTTAAGAAACCGATAATAAGGTTCGTTACGCGCAGTTTAACGCTCTGACTATTTACTACTCATTGTGTTTTTACTGCTTACTAACATGCCCATAATGCAAAAATTGCTTATATAGCCAACAGCAGTCAGCACACAGAGAATGGTTTAGACAAGTGGTCACGTGTGGTACTCGCTGATGAGTCGAACTCCTCGTATTTGCTTCATGCAGCGGCAGAATATCGGTAAAACACGTGTCCGGTCTTTTAACTAGAATCTAAGATGTCATTATGGAAGACCATGTAACAAATCGTATACACCTTGGACCGATAAGGAAAGATGCAGAGCTCCTTTCTGGGAAGCAGCAAATGAATGCTTGATTTCTTTTGATTCTGTTCTTTGATATTTGGTACGCCCATCTCTTCGTACCCCGGGGCTGAAAGTTTCTGAATCTGTTATCGGTTCATTTGCCATTTAGGCTTCAATGAAGATAGGCAGTTTTCGCTTAAACAGCAGATATTTCGCATTTTCTAGTTCTATCTGAGAAATGAAGCAAATTACCAAACAGATCATTAAACTTCCGGCTCTTTATTGTTAGCCAAATCTGTCTTTTAAATTAGCTATCATCTTAAACGTTTGAACGGAAAGACACTATCAACAAAGACAAGGAAGGCTGCAACGACCATTTCTGGCCTGTTGGCCTTCATCTGTCAGCCGCATCAAGCCCTGAGGTGTGCAACCCCCATCGCTCAATCTCCCTACCTGTTGTATAGAAGTCCAAAGCCCTAACCATTGAGCCACGAGCTCGTTGTCCTGTCAGTTGCGACCAGATATACTAACAATGGTAGAGGGGCGCTCACCTATCGCGCTACGGAACTCTCTCGTCCCGTTGTGCATTACGGACAAAGACAAGGGAGACTAAAATGGCCATTTCTGGCTCATTAGCCCTCATCAGCCGACTATACCATTGTGAAGAAAGCTGACTTTTATTCTTGCGTATTAACATATAAATAAATTAGGAAAACACAACAAAATAATAGATTATGAGGTTCTGCACTTTCGCTCAAACAGGAATTTACAAATGTAATGGCCTGAGTAGAATTTATCGAAAGTAAACTTATGTCCGCCAAGCCGTCTTCTGAACTGTGCATAAACTCAAGGCGCCGAATCCACGTCAGTATAGTCTACGGCCTGCAAGTGTCTACGAGTGAGTATTAAGGCTAGGCATGTCCTCGAGTGCACAAATGTCAGTTTTTTCTCATTTATTTTAAATGGTATATTTCCAGCTTTTGTCGACAAGGCCTCAGTCCATTCACTACCCACTAGCTTACATGAATATAATGCGCTTCAAGTCTCGAGTTATCCCACAGGGAATGCAAAAAGATTGTTTGGGGAGAGTTAAAAGGCCAAAGGCAGGCGTTCGAACTCCCTTAAAGTTAAATCACCTGGTACTTAGAAGGTCTGTCATGATCGTCATGCTAGAGAAAGCTACTACCTGAGGCTTTTTGAGTTTAACTGAAATGCGACATAGAAATTCATGATGACACATGCGGAGACCGACCTGTTTTAGATTACCAGACCAAAAAAGGCGAAGTAGAACGGTATGCGACCACTATCAGACCACAGAGCGATCTAGTGAACAATAATAGCGGGAGTGTGAAAGGTGTGTCGTCTCCGGCTTATCAGTACCGCGATTCTGCTAGTTATATCCCCCATCGTGACACGCACCGAACCTGCGCATTTATTCCACAGATCGGATCCATTAAGTGGGCCATAAACCAAATGAACTTACATTCCACTGGGTTTTCAGTACAAATCAGGAAAACCTGGACGTCTATTCACAGAGTAATGAGGGAACACTTGGAATAGTGGTTCCTCAGCGCTTCTTTGTGTTACAGCCAGCTACAAGTTACAGGTCGGACTATTAACAAAAACCATGTTTTCAGTAAATGACTAAATTGGCATCAGAATTATATCGAGGGAAAAAACAAGCTTATAAATTTTCGTATTTGATACCTTCCAGCCATTTGGACTGTTCACACATAATGAGGCATTTTTGCCGGGAAAAACGAATATAAAACTTGAATCCTTTTAACAAATAAATACCTAGCTGAATAATACTTCTGATTTTAAGAATATATCAAGCGAATAAGTGGAGTGTGTGGAAAAGTTAAGTTCACGCAGACAGTCAGTATTATATTGGACAATTTTGGATACCATGTCACGGTGATCAAATTATTTATCGGTTAAGGGTTTAGACCGGTGCTAGCTAGCTCTCAGGTCGTTGTTCATTTTCTAGAACCCGGCCACACATTTAAGTTCGATGAGGCCGGAATTCTCACAAGAAGTGACAACTGCATGAACTACGAGTTGCTTGAGTCAGGTTTTTCCGGCCCATAGTCGATTAACAACCATAATGACCCTTGCCTCCATATTCTGTCCCGAAACCTTGTCCGCTTAGAATAATTAACCATGCTGGGAGCGCACGAGTGAGCAATGCCCATGATGCTAATGTCGGTGGGCCAAATTGTCCAAGTTCACGTGATACGACTGACGACTCGGTTGCGAGCAATCAAGCATTCATCACACCTCTCGCAACCCTTTGGAGTGAGTACAGGAACCAGGGATTTTGCCAGGTATGCAGTGTCATAGCAACTGCATTCCACAAATATCGGAATATTTTTGCAAAAAATTACACTTATCTGATTCTGTCTCTGAGGACGCTTTCGTGAGTGAATCCGAAACGTCAGGCGAATTACGCTCTTGTTTCAGCGATCGTGTCTCCGTCTTCCCGACAGCTGTCTGGAACTTGCCTCCTTGCGGCTGTCGAGTAGAAGACTTTTTAACCAGTCATACCTAACCCCGGAAATAGCCATTCCAAACGTCCTTGTATTTTTCGGCGTACCATCTGACTCGCTGCTGGTCAGTAAGCGACTACCTGCAGGGACTCTAGAATCAGCCCCAAGGTGCGACACACCGAGACAGTGACAGAAACGTTTCTGTCATTGTCTCTGATGATGGGTTCAAGTGAAAATCCGAAACGTCGGGCAAATAAAGCCTTTGTTCCAGCGGTCGCTCCTAGTTCTTATCAAACTAAGAAACGTTGTTATGAATCCCAGGTTAACCATACCTAGGACCTGGTATGTCGGTTTGATGAAATAGTTATCCCAGTCTCTCTTGTCCTTATTGGCAGTTCTTCCCAGAACTGCATGACAGTCCCGTCCGGCGATGTCCACCATGTGCTTCACAGCAAGATGGGAGCAGGAACGGTAGCTTGCATGTGAATTACTTTATGGTGGGAGTAGACTTGAGCAACATCTACCGCACACTCTTCTCCTCTGGGCCTGGTTTCGAGACAGTCAAGAAGACCAGAAGCGGGGGAGGGATCAAGTGGCTGGCACGACCGAACACGCGCCCAGGTGTACCATCGTACCCCCTTGTCCGCAACGAACACTTGGTCAGAGTTTTAACCAACAACAGAAATAGGTCAGAAAGAGGAGGAGAGGACACAAGTCATTGGAAAAACATGCCCACGGCCTGTATACTCAGCGGGACGCAAGCACATCTACTAGCAGGGAATTAGGTACCAGAGAAACAGCCAGTGCACACATGACTGCCAGGTCTATAGTTTGCTGAATCATAGCAAAGCAAACGCATTATGCATGTACGGAACAACTAACAGATTGTATAGGCGAAACCGCTGAACTTTGGATGCTAGAACAGACATGAGCTCGGACCTTATGTTCAACGATTTACGTCCTAAAAAACGAATTAAATTGTCAATCAAAAACAGGCATAGTTTGCAAAGACATATGCCGCGAATATGTACAGCTAAAATAAATAAATTCGACTTAACAAAGAAAGTGACACAAATACGCATCACGTATTGGTGCATTTGTGAGTAATATCGGCACAGTAAGTCAAAAACTTCGACTTTCTACAAGAAAACCAACAATCTGACTTAAGAGACAAGTGAAATAACCCCGGGTTATTGCATTACGTCCTTCATTATCTACATGAAGAATTTTGCCAACGGAAGCACCACTCGTAACTTCAAAAATCATTAGCTAACATGACTTGACCTAAATATTAAAAACACTTTTCAGCAAAAAATGAAACAGTACATACATGAGCCTTTTCGAAAAGTTTGAGGTTTGCGCCCTCTCGCCATTGCCAGTAAGCAAATAAGCTTCTTCGGTCAGACCATGGAGACACGACCGTAAAACTCTCTAGCAAGGAAGTGTCGTTGTCAGTCTCTTTTATCCGCATGGATTGATGATAATCTACATGACCCAAAAAGCATGATAGAGTATGAGAAATTCTTTATGCAAATAGGAAAAACAAGAAGACATGCTAAAAATCCAATTTTATAAAGTGTCATTTAGTCCAGCGGAACAATTTTCCCTCAGATATATGTCAGTTTCGTCATTTAAGAATTTAAGACATTATTCTCGTTGACTTAGCACTTGAATGCTCCATAGTTCTCTGTTTAGCAGCCTTTCCAGAACAAAAACAGTGGTTGTCTCCAGACTAAATAAATACTTATGATCTCCAGAAACTTTCTTAGCGATGGAGTTAAGCATCAAATAATTTATTTGCGTGTACAAACACCCTTAACAACAGCTTCCCCCATGGAAAGTTCGATTTCAACAACTGGTTTAAAAGGCATCAATTTGAAAGGAGACGAAGCAAACTTGCATACCTTTAGAACCTTTGAAGTAGTATAAGTTAGGTTTGCACGATTTAATGAGATTCAATGATGCTTAGATAGTAAAAAACACAAAACTATCTAAGGCTTTGTAGAAGTGACAAAAATACCACATATCCCCTGACGAAACTTTATTCCCAATTGTTGCCTTTTAATTCCCTCAGATACTAAACGCGAACTTGAATTAAGTCAGTATATACCAAGGTCTATAGGCGCAGACTGAAATTTGGTGTATGAATATTTAGGCCAAAGTCCATCAGCCTCAGCTGGGTAACCGCGTAATACTCATTAACTGCCGACAGGCAGCTAGTAATATATTTTTAGGGTATATATTATTATCATATACCATACCTTACTGTATTACTAAGCATTTCAGCAGCATTCAGCTGGTGAGCGGAAGAAACCGTAACAGTTTTTTATACCTGAGACCTTGCTATTTACATTGTTTTCTGTATTTTCGCTTCTCGTGGCATATCAGTTTGTTCGGCTGTCTACGTAATTCATGCAAGCAAAGAAGCCTGGAAATGATCCATTATTTAATTTCACGCACGTGTGTTCAAGTCATGATATTCAATCACTGCCATAAAAAACTTGGGATTTTCCCATTTTTCGCACGGATTCTTCCTAGACGACAGAATCTAGGCATTGGCCCAAGACCCACAACATTTTAGCGATTGGGGTCTTCCCAAATACGATTTTTCTGTAATCGGAAACAAATAAAGTACACTTTTTATTTGCCTAAGTACCCCAGTTTCGTCATAATATGTTAAAAATATGGTCTTATCAATCAAACTTACTCAGGCTTTGAAATGAACTATTTTTATACTATGGTCAATGGCATGGGATATTTTTATGATCATTTGATCTGATATAATAGATCACCATTTCATTGTCAGTGAAGCTCGAAAAAAATGAAAATACACTCATCTCCTGGCAAATATCCCCATTTATATGCCGACATCTATCTAAATTGTCATATATAGTTCTAAATCTCACTATTTACCATAATTATTGGTGTTAGACGTCGTAACTGAGAACCAAACTATATAATCTTCACATTTCTAAAATACTTCAATTCTCTACTGTCCAGCTTTTAGTAAAGAGGACCACGCGATGCAAGCCGCAAAATAAAAGTTTTTTGCATTATTTTGCCACTTCGAAACCTTCCTTTGGTTAATCCTGACCTCCTAAGTCTCGTAAAAACAGATGGCACTACTAGTTAGATCAAGCTTCCAAAAAATCCGGAGAATGCCCCAACGATGCAGATCTATGCGTTAACTGATAAAAACGTGAAGGGGCCAGCAATATTTAAAAAAATTCCGAACAAATTGTATGAGCATATTACCAAGTTGTGAGGTGCCGTAAAAAATTGTTGTGCTGCTAGTCAACACGGGTTACTGATAATGCAGTAAATGAATTTCTTTAATACTTGTTTTTAAAAAGAGAGCCTTCTGTTTCTGATGGACGTACCTGAGTCGTTTTCTGACACAAGGGGCAAGACGTTACGTCAAAAGTACCCAGCTTTGTGCGTTAACACTGCCGGCTTTTCACCATACTCAGTCGGGGCTGGCAATCGTAATTCACAGAGGCTTTGGGTGCGTGCACCTGTCTGTCTTTCGACGCTGACCTCCTGGCTTACCATTGGTTGAATATAACCAGTTAACCACTGCCTCCTGTTTTCGCTCGTCTATTGCCCACCGGCGTGACGCGTGTCCGTCCTTCATCGCCGCACATGGGCAGTCTTTTCGCTGGACTCCCTCCGTCTAGGTTGCAAATATCTCTAAACGGAATGTTCGTAACGGCATAGGGTCAAGACTACTTTTGTTTTCGGCAGATGCATTTCCGTGTTATGTAAACAGGCGCAAATAGGAATTTTGTTAGCAACTTGACGCCTTTCCAATTTTCGCGTTTGGTCACATTTGAACACTGCCGTGATCAATACTCGGCAAAAATAAGAGGGCCAACTATCAAAGCTGCATGTAACCCACGCGGCACTAATTTTCTTGAGCATGGGGAAACTATCTTGTACACCGAATTGTGCTTTCACGTCTTATAAAACTGGACGCCAGTGCATTGACTAAATCCGTACTTTTAATGCAGTTCCTGGCCTATCTCATGAAATTTTGAGTGAAATGCTGAAATCCGTTTTCAATTAGAATGGATAATTAGGTCTGCTTGTGATAGATACCAGTTATAATTTAACATAATTATAAGATATTTCAGTCTCACCAGGGTGCCGACTTTTGAATTTACTTATTTCTGGTCGCCTGTAAAAACGACACCCGGTAAAAAATGACTACTTAAATGGTATAAAACTTTCTCATTGTTTTTTCCCAACGACCATCTAAATCCAAATGCATTTTACATCACATATGCCCAAAATATTTTTCTTGTACCCACTTGGTAGCAAATTAAGGTTTATTCAAAGTTCATACGTGAGGAAAAGTGTCTCCGAGTTTTAAAAAACGTTTTTGTTACCCGGATTTATTCGAACCCAACTTTCCGCTGTGATCAGAATTTCCAAACGACATGCCGTCTACTTCTCATATAGGGAAATTCATATATTTCTCTACGCTATTAAGAGGGCATCGTCTTGGACACATACAATTTTGCAATAAATATCGATCATGTTGTATACTTCATAAGCAGCACTAGTAAGCGCCGTATGACTAGGCATTTCAAGACCTTGTAAGATCTCATAGTTACAGACTTATTTAAATTCAAACCTATTTAAACCTAAACCGTATCCATAAATATAAAATTTGAGGAAGGGGCCGCATGCCGCAAAATTTGCACCATAAAGGATATGTCTGATCATGTTTTCTATGAAATATATTCACATTCATAAGGGTTTTGAAGATCATTGGAAAGAGTTTATGCTCCTTAAGGTGTCACTTTATACGGAGTGCAATTGTTGCAGTCGGCCTGAACTGGGAACATTCGAGAGCCGGCATTCTGGCATAACCGAAATAGTTTGGAATTATGCTGCACCGTAAGTAATATTAC